TGTCTTTTGATCCATTCCCACTAAACCGAGGATTTATTTTAGCCCATTGTCATTTTGGTCTCCCAGTCACAATATTCAATAGTTAGTCTCCATCTGCAAGGCAGTGTCGTATTGTCCAAGTCCTTGGTTTATTTCCATAAACCCATACTCGGTCTTAAAGCCATCTGTGTACCAGATATAGCCGGCATTAACCAAGATGCTATTCTTTCAGTCGGTACTATTGGATTTTTGGATTTGAATTTTTCTTTTCAAAATCTGAATTTTGGAGATATTTCTCAAAAAATAACACCTTTTTCAATGGACGATAACAAAACAAACATTCTCGTAAATATTGAGATAATTTCATACTAGCCTTAATACACAAAACAACAACTTTCCCAACATACTCACAGACCTAACAATAAGCCCAATATATACAAAATAAAATATTTATTCTGAAAACCAAACCAAAACTAGCAAAATGGAATTTGACATATACAAAAAACAATAGCATAGGTGACGACTTAAACTCAGATATAAAGTATCTGAACTAAAAACATATAGAATGAAATCAATACTAGCAACACCTGAAAAATACAAAAAATTCAAACAATAGAAATCCTGATACGCATCAAACTAATAAAGAAAAGGATACAAAACAATGATAATATAAAAAAAACACTACAGAAAAAACCATTAACAAAACCTTACCAAAGGAGACCAATAAACGTATTCAATCTAAACTGATAAAATGACACACAGGCAACCAATTAAAATGCCCAAACGCATCTGACGGACAATACCAAGCGACGATAGACGGACCAGGATGATCAGATCCAATCAAACTGCAATTCATTGACCGAACAATTAATACTGGCAGTTAATAACTTCCGGATTCTATAACGAATTATTTTGCATTAATTATTAATTATCAATATATAACGATTTAACTATAGAAAAGAATAATAAACAAGGGTATAAATGGCAGCTTGCATTTATTTTTTTAAATAATTTGTTGGACAAGGATAGCCCCGTTAAATCGATATAAGTACTTTTAAAAATTCATTTACGTTTTAGTGGTCAATTGACGAAGTTACATTTTTCAATTAATTATTCTTTCCATGTAAGGTCTTGGTTGAGATAAAAAGTCAGTGTCACGAGCGGGATTCGAAACCACCACCTTTGGCTAAATACGCCGCTACTCTATCACTTGAGATATCGTGACTTCGATCCTCTCGGACACCGACTCTCCATCTCAACCTACAACCTTTCTAACCAGAAAATGAACGTTGAAAATGGCTAAAAGAGGGAAGGTTCGAACGGTTGCAGATTGAGATGGAGAGTTGGTGCCCGAGAGGATCGAAGTCACGATAGCTCAAGTGGTAAAGAATCAGCATATGTAGCCGAAGTTCGTGGGTTCGAATCCCTCTCGTGACACTGACTTTGTTATCTCAACCAACACGTTACACGGAAAGAATAATTAATTTTTAAAAATATTTTTCCAAGAGAGGTATATAAATGTTCAAGGAGAAAGGTATATAAGTAGTTATTTACATATAAATTGAATTTTAATTATAGTTTAACTAGGTATGAATGTTAAACAATTTTAATAATAATTTCATGTTTCGTTTGTAACTTTTATTTGAAAAACATAAACTCGCGATCTGTTTTAATTCCAAAGTTCCAAAGTTAAACGTTATATATATGTTAATTCACTATTTTCGTGGTCCGCTTGACCAATACAAGACAATCAATTAAGGTTTTTAGTTGAGATAAAAAAAAGTTAACGGCACGAGAGGGATTCGAACCCACGTGGGGTTGGGATGGGAAGTTGATGTCCGAGTGGATCGAGGTCACGATAGCTCAGGTGGTAGAGCAGCGGCGTATCTAGCCGAAGGTCGTGGGTTCGAATCCCTCTCGTGCCATTAACTTTTTTTCATCTCAACTAAAAACCTTAATTGATTGTGTTATATATATGGGGGTTAATCGGAACCGGAAGGCGTTGGAGGACTTCTTCATTCGCAGAAAGAAAGTTCCGGCCAGAATCTAATTATGTTTTTGCCAATTCTATGGGCGGTGGTTAACTAGATTAGAAATCGAGGTAAGAGAGAAAGATACAAAGATCCTGTCTCTATTTTACATGATCTGTTGGGTATCTATTGACCTGATATTTAAACTGTCGAACTTCCATTAATTCGAGTCTTTATTTACATATAAACTGGCATTATGCTGCGGTTCCGCATCGAATGTTTATCAGGTGCTTCTGATGACCGATAATGATGGGAAAATAGAATCTTGGGAAAAGCACACACTTTTGCCCTATTTAACAATACGCGTGAGAACGTTGAAAATATTAAACATTAATTGGACAGTTATGAACCGGGATTTCTGATGGCAGGTTCTTTTGGAATAGTCCTGTTCAACATAAAAACAGAAGAATGATAATTTTTAATGTATATTATAGGAGAAAAATGTATTTTTAATCAGCATCTGCAAAATTTGCTGATGGCAAGACAAGCTTAATCTCGAAAACGTTAAAGTTATTATCATAAATTATCATAAACAAATTGACGATATATTTCATCAATGCCTCTTTCCATACATATAAAAAATAATAAATAGATATTTTAAATAAATAAAAGTTTATCATTTAAACGCATCTAATATTTGATTAAAATGTATTTACGGCGTTAAACCCGTGGGAAAAAATATATAATTGAATCATTTATAGTTTATAAATGATTTTTTTAATTTTTAAAAGAAAATTATTGACTTTTATATCATATTTTGTCCTTTCTTTTTCTTTTTCTTTTAAACCTTACTATTTCATTATTGGCTTCTTTTTATTGTCAAATACATTTTTAAATGCCACCTCGAGATGGTTTTAATTAATTTTTCTTTTTTGAACATACATTCCATAAATTACCCCTGACGATATGCAACCTATATATTGTTTGTGGCTCCTTCGGCTCGTTCAAACTGATGATGAGCGTTTAATGGTCGAAATCCGGATGGTTGTGAACAATAGTTCTCTAAGTAGAACCATCTTTTGCAAGAAATCCATTGATTTCGTTCTGTACATTAATGCAGCTATTTTATGCCTGTGTTTATTGCTTTTCGTTTTCTATCATGTTAAATTTTGTTGCTGGTTTTGGTAGATTAGATTTAAAATAGATCTTTTTTAAGTTCATACTTTACTACGTTTTTGTTCACTATGTTGTTTTTGTCTTAACTAGCTTCTTAAGTGTATGTAAATATTTGTGTAATTTTTTTTTGTATAACAGTAAAAAAGTGAAATTAAGTTATAGCTTTCGTATCATATAAAAGTAAAAGAATATTTGTTATAATATTAATTTAAACCTTAACAATTGTCCTGATTTTACAATCAAGCATTACCAACGATTATACAGGTGTAGGAAAAAAATATACATTTGTTCACATTCGCATTTTAAATAAGGAATGAACTACTATGTATATATTTTTGAACTGTGTAAATCACATTATTTATTCAGTTTCAAGTTGGAGTTTCTGAAGGATGTTTTTTTTAAGTTATGCAAATTTTTAAAAAAATAAATTACACAAACAAAACAAGTACTCTATTATCAAATAGTATTGGAACATGTCAAGATTGGTGATATTCTAATTTTGCACTGTGCTATCAAAATAACTAAACCATTTTATGATTGTGGTTAAAATAAGATTGAAAAGAAAGAAAAGCACAATTTTCCTTTTAAATAACAAATCAATCAAAAAGTTTATAGGACCAGTTGCTGTTGTTGACATCTTCAAAGTGTAAACGCCTTAAGGACCAGCGCAGCGAGGATGTGCAGGCCGATATGATTAAAATTATTACCCAAAAATGAATAGTTCAAGAGCTAAGAGTAGATTTATGACGAAAATCGTACAAAGTCGGAAAAAAACAACATAAAATGTTGAATATCTGCGTGAGGGTTGAGAATAGGACCATGTTCATATTTTTTGTTGCATTTGAGTTAGAAGCACCTGCCAAAATTTGTCGTATGACGTAATCACACTATACACATGGAGAAAATTCCAACTAATTATAGTTACTGTACAAATAGTACAGTAATAAAAGTATATTGATGAGTTTTAACTATTTGCACTTCATAGCAGACTTATTTGAAATCACTCTCGCCCGATTATCCAGCTAACTCAGGAATTAGAATAGAATTTTGATTGATTCTAGGCCAATGGCAATTTCTCTAGCCTTAGAATGAACTTGCCTTGTGATTTATCTCATTTATTTTTCAAAAAAGAAAACGATTCAAGACAATTTACTGTGCTTTACAGTATACTTAAGTAATACACAATTATTTTTCCAAAAATTTGTAAATTTCTCGTACTATTCGTTGATAATGTGTTAGAAGTCGAGAAAAATTTTTGGAACTTGTACAATACAAAAGAATTTACGATTTGACTTGTACTTGAAATTCCACGTTTTCTTGTACAATAAGTTAAAATACATTGCAACTTTGAAAAACCCTATTTATTATTATTATTTAAAAGTCAATAATGTAGACATATAATACGTGATTTATTAAAACTATAACAACACAAAAATTTATATTAAATAATGTTTGACAAAATTTATTAAGCAATTAAGACAATTTTGAATTTGATCAGATTTATTTGTATTTTTGTAGTTCCATGAAAGGGTAACAGTCAGGCCCAGGTAATTATTATTATTTTTGTTATTTCCTAGAGGTACTAAAAGCTACACACAGAACTAGAATATTGAATAGAAAGAACTGGTGACATAATGGACCTATGTAGAATAAGAATTTGAAATCCTTTCAGATGTATATGTAAAATTCAAATTTACACAATATTTTTACAAAATTTGGTCACTTATATAATAAATAAATTTCTAATAAATATCAAAGGTATAAAATAAATTTAAAATCTTTTCTTTATACTATTGAACAAGCGAAAATAAAATTATCACAATCTGATGTCTTTCAGTGAATAGATTTTATGGAGGAAAAAATTTCCCAACATACCACGTGGTGACTAATGGTGATTAACTCCTCCTTGTCTGTCCCTCCTAACTCCTGGGGCACTGACAGTGAACTGAACTTGGGTGGAGTGATCCTGGCTCGGGGAAGGATGTGTGTTAGGGGGTCAACCTCCAAGGACACGAAGGGGGGGTCTCCCGGAAGCAGGGAGAGTCGTTTATCGACACAGACGACTGGGGACGGGAAAATTAATAGCTTCGGCCAAAAAAGAACATTGGCATCTCGAGAGAAAATCGGCAATGTTTGTTAATTGTTTAATTGATTATTGTAATTGCGTTCACTTTCCATATAAACGTTTGATACAGGACTTTGTCCTCAGAAGTACAGAACTGAAATTTTTCCAACCCTTATTCGCGATCAATGGAATATTGGATATTTCACTGATGAAATGCTAAAATTTATGGTGTTGAGGTCAGTGAGGCCATGAACCTGTAGTTTAATCGTCCACGATCTTTCTAATCTGGCTGGTTGGTTGGCCTGTCAGGACGTTTCGGCATTCTTTATGCTTATTCTGTGTGATATTTATTCTATTTTGTCCTAACATTATATTCAAAATTATAATTTGGTGGTTTTAGCGTGGCACAAAGTTAAGAAGCTGTTTAAATTTTAAAACCTAAAGGTCAAATCATCTATTTCACAATGCACAACATTTTTTTATTGCACGCAATTTCAATAAAAATATAGATTTAAGTGAATTGACCAACATTTTATGCCAACATGCTCATTTATTTTATTAGTTTAGTATTTAAATTTCATACCAAACGTACCTTCTATACTGTTTCTTTTTCTCCTTGTGTTATCTCTTTTGTATTATGTTTATTATTTTCAATGGCTGATTGATCCATTATAAACATTACAAATGAAAAAATAATTCGGCGAATGTTTTTGTCGGCTTTTTCTTACGTTTGCTGTATTGACTTTAAAGAACAGTCTGCTGGAAGCAAGCTGAGTTTTTATAAAATTTCCTTTTAGTTTTATGTTTCTACCCAGAAAAACAGCATCGTTTGGAGAATAAACTGACTGAATTACATACCAAATGTATATACAGTAATGGGTTTTTCCAATGCCAAAGCGGATGTTCTGCAAGACAGCATCATTGGTCCCATTCTCTTTTCAATATACACTGGAGACATTCCTCTGTGGAAGACTGGTGAATGACATTCACGAAATGGATGATCAGATTCGACGAAATTCCAGTAAACAACCTGAAGTCTTCAGCGTATAATTTCTTTTCCAATTTACTGCAACTTAGTTACTCTCCCACGACCATTGTCCACATCGACAAATGATTTACTAGAAAACTCCAACTCTACTTAAAAGAATAGAACTGAAAAGACGATACAAACAACTAAACAGACCACTTGACAACATATCGAAACACTCACTGAAAAAATAAACCCCTCATCAACACATCATTACTAAAAACCTGGACCTGTCATTCAGTCAAGTAGGGTAGTCCTCCAAGCATATTATGCAATGGTGCAAGGAACTTAATATTCCGCCGTCACACTATTTCATACTACACATCTACTCAAATAAATACATTCACTCTCAACATACACAAAAGGAAACACACAACGAAATATTTAATACAATAAACCAGTCCTATTTTCTCAAAAAGTCGAAACAGGGTGCCCAAATACTCGCTGATAGGATCAAGCATTCTGATATTACTTAGTTTGAGAAAAAACATTTGAAAAACCTAGACCTTAAATAAAAATAGTTATTAATTTGAAAAAATACTTTTTTACAGTCTCTGCATAAAATTCTATTTGCATAGTTCTACACTTAAACAAAAAATTAAATACAGTTGTCATTCACGCACAAATTTGAAATTCAAAAGAATAGCCAAGTAGATACTAATACTTTTTAATTAAGGTCTAGCCTGCCTGTAGTTTATAAATTTTTTAGGACTCATTTAAATGCTCGGGGTTTTTTTCTGTAAATTTCCTCAAAATATGATCGACGAGTCAGTGTTAACTTCGAAATTTAAAATGAAACGATGTAAATTGTATTTATTCAAAAGATAGATATATTAGGTAAAAAATAATTGGTGCAATACTAAATTGACGCTACATTTTTGAAATTAGCCTAATGATTATTGTTTTATCTGGAGTTAATTTAACGAGTTGATTTACCAGTTGATCCGCTAAAGAAGTTGGAAAAAAATACTCCCAATAAACTTAAAAAAACTTGATTTTTAGTTTTATGTTCTTTTGGGCTATATAAGGGTGTTAAAAACAGGCCTGGCGTAAATTGTCAGGAACAAAGGCAACTTCGTTACGAAACACTGATTTATAAAGTCCAATCCTGCTCCCTGATATATGACATTCGCTCCAATTTCGGTTTTGAATAATCGATCCTACTTTTTGGAACCGGTGCGGTAAATCCGGATTGGGAAAGTTACTAGGAATATCTAGTTCAACGTCAACGGTACTTTTTTGGGTGGCTGTTTTCTTTCCGAGACATTTGATAAGGGCCTGGTTCCGCGGGTTCCAGACTGATCGATATGATGTGTCGAGCGTATTCGGCTGAATCGTCTTTTCCTCGAGGGCGGAACTGGGAATGGACCGAAAACCGGTCTCGGCCGTACGAAACTGGGACGTCTAAACGAACACAAGGCGGAGGTTCGGCAGAATTTATCGTCATACGCTCCACTTTCAGCCAGCGATGTCCCGCCGAAAGGGAAAATTGCAAAGTGAGAGGGAGCAGGTTTGCATTTCGAAAAACCAGACCTGGTGTGCCATTCGAACTGCAGGTAAAACCAATCGCCTGAAGTAACCGGTCATCAATAACACCTTTGTGAATAACATTATCTGATTACAGAACTTTACACCGTACTGTGTTGCGTTGTGCGCAGTGATGAACCTGCAGCATTGTCATCGTCTCCGATCACCTTGACCCACCTATTTCTGGCAGTCGCTGGCAGTGGTTGATCGGTTGTTTCGTCGAATGAAAATATTTGATATTTCACTGATGCACTGCTAAAATTTATTGAGAGGTGTGTTGAGTTGTCCACTTTAATCGTCCTCGATTTTTCTAATCGAGCACGCAAGTTTGACACGTCAGAAACATTTCGACATTCTTTATGCTTATTCTGTGTGATATGTTTCTATTTTGTCCTAGATTAGATTAGATACAAGCGACCCGTACACCGCGACCAGTATTGATCTATTGCCTATCTCCATTTTTTTATTTATTTTAGAGCTTAAGGCTTATTAGCAGGCCCAAAAGCTTTTTCAAGGGCTCACATGGGTATCCTTCAGACCCTGGCTTTTCTTCTCCTAGGATTAGGAATCTCAGCCTACAGAGGTCTTCGCACCAACAGAGTACGTGTTCTGCTCTTTCTCATTATTTTTGGCAATAACTGCACAGGCTTGTTTCTGCCAGTCTATACATATTCCTCCGGCGTCTATAGTTTCAAGTAGAAGTACAACTATTATTCTAGTCCTAGCACGTCCTAAATTTAGTATAGGTAGCTGTCCTCATTGAACTTTCCTTGGCCAATTTATCGGCCTCTTCGTTGCTTCTCTGCCTTGAGTGTTCTGATACCCAGCAAAGGGTAATTTTGTTATTTTCCCCAATGTCTGACAGGGCTCTAATGCAGTCCCAAACGTCTCTGGACTTTAGTGCTGATGCGGCAATTGCCTTCAGTGCCGCTTGACAGTCATAGTATACGGCCATTCTTCTATTGACAATCCCTAGCCTTTTTTTTCATCCTGGCACAGGGTTCAATAGCCAGTTTCCGCTTGAAAGACTGTCGTATATTATCCAAGGCTTATATGAATTCTAGTCTGTGGTTCATTTCCATAAATGCCAGCACCCGACTCACATTCGGTTTTGGAGCCATCTATAAACCAGATATGGTCGCCATTAACTGGGATCCCTTTCTCCCTCTCTGCTCTACAAGGTATTTTGACTAGATCTGTTTTGTCAAAACTGAATTTAGGGGTCTATATTAGATAGTAGAGTTTAGTCCATTTCATGAAAAAACATTGAATAATGGATACGTAACCTAACCCATTCTTAAGACTAACTTCAACTCTGACCCTACCTAACGTAACCTTAACCCGCCCGTCAGCCCTAAGGTTAAGGTAATGCTCACCAGACCGCATCTCACGATTTCTAAATAAGTAATGCTCTAAGGTTAAAATCCAGACAGCCTATTTACGGCTTTACGCACCGCGAATAATATTAGTTTATCGGACAATCTCAATTATTATATAGAGCTATTCGTTCATCTTAAGGATTTTTTATCCCATCCCAAAACTTTGTTAAGGCATCCGTGTGTATCCTTCAGCCCTTGTCTTTTCCTCTCCTAACCTAACCCTAACCCAACCTTGCTTTGGTAGACTAGTGTACCTAACACTAACCCAAACCTAATCATCACCCTACCCAAACATAATCCGTCCTAGCCTACCCTCACCTAAACTAATCCAACTCAGGCGCACTCGCCGGTAACCCGAACGAATTACGTGAAAAAGGTCAGGCAAAACATTCTTGTTTCCAAAAACATCTATATTAAAATTTCTTTAATGGAAGCTTAAATATTTGAATGTAACTTGAATATATTAAATAAACAATAAATGAAAACGAGGGAGGGTTAACGGAATTTTGGATTGGTATTTTATAGCGAGATGAGGCTGACCATTTCTGACCGATTTCGGTTTAAAACAAGATCCAAATTTCATTCGAAAAGAGGTACTGTCGGTTCAAAATGAATATATTAGAAAGGAGTCGAAATAAATATTTATTTTAAATATAAAAATTACATATTAATAGAAAAAACATAAAAATTAAGTACTGATTCAAAAGAATTGAATATATTAAACAGAAATGAGAAAAACAAAATTGTTTTAAAACGACTGATAAGTTACGGAGCGTGACAGGACGGTCAATCGCAATAAATCTTAAAAATGCCGTATTTTTTAATGCCAACAAACGTAGAAAATCTCTAACGTTTGATAGGGAATCATCAAGTTTGCAAAGAAAATTTATTGCACCACCTGCTAAATCCTAGGTGGCAAAACGAGAGCAATTTTGAAGAAAAAGCCGTGCACATCCCTCGTTTTATTAAACAAACTTTAAGG